CAAAATGCGCTCGCCTCTCGACAATATGCGTTTTTGCTGGCTGTAGCAGCGTTATAGCGTTGCTATAGCGCTGCACAGCAAAAACGCATAATAATAATAATAATAAAAATAATAATAATAAATTCTTAGGAGGCAATCCGGCAGGGCCATAAAAGTAGTGCATTGAAACGCGAGAATAAATAAGAATACAAAAGCAAAAACGCTCAAAAGCACGTAAGCCGAAGTGTCTCAGGCATAAGGGGAAGGCGAAATTCTTGTTCACTAGTCGGGAGCAGATAAGATCTGTTGGAGATGGGGTCTTCTGTCTGATACCAACCCCGATTCGAATGCGAGTATCAGAAGCGATGGCGTAGATTCCTTTACCTTGCAAACGCTTCGCAAGATCTTTTGCTCGTAGAGCTGAGAGGTATTGCAGTTTGGTGAGATCATTGCGAATAGCTATGACATGGCCGCGTGGAGCGAAGTCCTTTGCGATGAAGCGTTTCTAGCTATCAAACAGCTGTTTGTCTGTGGAAGTGAGGAAACGGACAATCAAAAACTTATGGGGCTTGCGCCCGACCCAGTGCAAGGACTGGATCTGGAAAGCCTTTGTCTCATTCTCAGAACGGCGCATACCGTCGCTAAGAAGCAATCGGAAAAGTTCAGCGGGCTTTATCACTTTAACAGTGGTAGCGCCGTCGTTCTCGCGTCTCCGTTCGACATTTACTGAAATTGAAGTTGAAAATGCGCACACTGAATGAGCGGGCAATGCGTTCGTGGACTTCAGTGCGTTGCGAATTTTCGGTTAAACGGGTATCATGGCCATAAACTCCATCTTTTATTTCGTCGAGTTGCTTGCGTAAACCCTGCAAATTAATCCATAACAGGCAGGTGCAATGAGAGAGCGAAAAGGAAGGAAAAAGTGTAACGGCGAAGTATCTGGGAGAGGTTGAACTCCCAGCACATTAACAGAAAAGGTGACAACTGCCGAGCCAAAGTGGCATACGGATGGCTCAAGGCCAACCCGAGGCGTAGCCAGAAGGCGCAAAGCGGGGCGGGGCAATGGAAGAATATGATATGGATAAGAAGGGGGGAATAGATGAGAAGGAAAAGCGGCGTTGAGGCTGGTCGGTAGACGGTATAAGATATTGAACGGTCGGGATCTAGTCACGCCTGAAAAGTATAGGTATATGGTAGAAAGAAGGAAAAAAGGAAAAAGAAAGAAAGGGGGGTATCATCTACGTGAAATCATTGGCCACGCGCACTGGGGGCCCCGTGCGATCATGCGTTTTTGCAGTGTTTCGTGCTGT